TATTGATATATTCAGCTAACCGACATAATAAGCTAATTTTATGATGCACATAAAACTGACACTTTTAGTTTGGGTTTCATAAGTTATGGGAGGTCTAACATTTTTACTTGTATCTTTTGAATGAAACTGCATAGACGGAAGCTTTATGCAGCAAAATGACGGTCAACAAATTGGGCATATAGTATAACTAAAAAAAAGTCATTTTGAAAAAAATTCACTGTTCCACTTGGCCTCGGTATCGTAGCAAAAAAGAAAAACTGGTGAAGCGTATAGTGAAGAGGTACAGATGAGATACATTGCAGTGGTTATAAGCAATCAGGCTGGACTTCATTGTAAGTCAGCTGTGTTCGTCTGTCACAAGCTATTTTTGGTATGTGCAGTACGGTCCATCGTTAAGGGGAACACAAGAACGCGTGGCCGCGGCCCGCATGGCGCGAACTGGTCGCGAGATTCGTAAACGTGGCGCATGAGCATAAAAGCACAAAGGTGGTGCTTGTGGGCTTTTGTCTGCGTTTTTCCGCCCCTGCGCTCGCCGAGCACTTTCCTTTTTCCGCGGTTCGATTCATGCCGCCGCTGCTCTGCCGGCACCTTGTCAGCTACTCAGCAGGCACACAAAAAGTCCAGTTTGTTTCTTGCTGTGGTATCGCACCAGTTCTGAAACGATGCGATTCACACCTACAGTCACGCGATTTATGTTTAGAAGCATGGTAATATGCTCTTAATAATAAGAATTATAAACATTAGGGATTAACATTGCAGAACAGCGGTATGATTATGACCGATGCAGTGGAAGGCTTCAGAAATTTCAACTACTTGGGGTTTATATCAAAGTACGCGGGCCTCGAATATTCCCGCATCCATCGATAATGCGGCTGCCGCAGTGGGGATTTGATCCCGTGACCTGCAGGTCAGCAGTCGAGCACCCTAACTCCTATACCGCAGTGGCGAGGTAAGAAAACACTTGAGGATGAAATTTTTTCAAAGGATCAATACTAATGATGTTCTGGCTCTGGCTTGCTACATCTCGACAAAAATTAGTGTAACGATCTAAATGGTATGAGTTTTTGATTATTGAAGCAACTTCGAAGAAGCACCATATTTCGAATTGCGATGACATGAACTTTTATGAAAAGTGCTGCGCTTACCCACTATGTGTGTGCATTAAAATTGAAGTGCATAAAACTATACACTACAGTAAACACGAAAGAGAAAATTTATTTGTCATTTTTGTGAGAAAAGCAGAACCAGGCCAGATCTCTGACCTCTTAACGTTATAAGAATGAAAAGCTTCGTTCAGTATCGGGTGATGTCACTTCCAGCGTCGAATATGGCCTTCATTCTTGCAGGCGGAGACTTGTACAGAGCTTCCCTGAAGGATGAGTTGCAATTAAGCTGCTGCCACTCTTCATTTACGGAAGCCCAGAGGTCATCCACTTATACGACGTGGAGAGTTTGGCGAGAGATGATTCCATTCTGCTCCACACATTTTCAATTACGTTCAAGTCATGTGAATTGGGGGGGAGGGGGGCGCATGAGCACTGTCACGGTCTTTAGTGGCTTGTTTACCACAGCAGCGACAGCATGCTGACTGTGTTCTTTAGTGTAGAGCTCGACTATGAGAAGCCTTTCATTCCCACGTGTCTTGGCAATGCCAAATATAAGAGCTGGCAGAACATAAAATTTGTTCAGTGAAGAATTATGCCCCCAGCTGTAGAATTCTGTGGAAACAATAATGAAGCCCATCACTTGTGTCACCTAAAGTGTCAATGCTCACAGAAACGTTAGTCATCATAAGTTTTGCACAATGCTCCAATCAGCCAGCTGCCTTTGATGACAGACAAGGAAATCGGTTCTTGATGCGACGAGCATAGTCAGCTTCTCATTGCAACCACTGAAACATAGCTTGGCGTTAGCAATGTTACTAGATACTTTCAGTTGTCAAACTCCATTGCGGTGCCTGACCCCTCTTTGTTACTCCCGTGAAGCGGTGCACTGTCGACCCGAGGGCGACCTATGGAGCAGCGCTGGTAGAGGCAACGGGCAGAGGCACCAAAACATGCTGTTTTTTTTGCTTATGTTGGTTACCTATGCGTCAGAATAATGTCGCGTGTCTTGTTAGCAAAAACTACGCCATCTCCCTCTAAAGGGCACCATGATGCAATGCAACACAGCACGGGGTGCACACCTCATTTGCAGCAGTTTCGACTAGGTGTTTTCATTGATGTTTCTGTTATTTTTACGCATTTAGTGTTATCGTCATATTTGGCGTTACTTAGTGGTGTCGGCACCATCGAAGCCAGGGCGTTGAACGGACTTCTTCTGCACGGACTCGCGTCGTCTGTCCGCAGCCGTTGCGTAGGCTCGACGCTGACGCCTGCCTTCGATGTCGGCAATGCATATGGCGAGGATTGCTTGCAGACGCTGTCCGTGTGCATCGGCATGTTGAGCCCGCATTACGTTCGTAGCAGCTTCCCGCAAACGTTGCTGTTAGCGCTGAGATTCTCTAGACCGGAGCTCAGAGTTCACTTGGCCATGTTTACTTTGTGCTTCGGCGCGTCAAGCCTTTTGCTGCTCCGCGATCTCACCAGGCATCTAATGTTGAAAGAGTTAAGAAGGAGTGGCCACCGCTTCTTGCACAGCCACTTACACAGACTCAAATGCTCTAGCTTCTTCCGGCGTGTTCTGAAGAGGATACTGCGTTGCTTCATTGCGCGTCTGCAGTATCTTGTTGCCCGATGCCATCATATGTTTGCTGAAAGAGTGTAAGGAGGTGAGGCCACAGTCTTATCTATAGCCCCTTACACAGGGCAACATGCGCTAGTGCATGAGCGTGTTCTGGCTGTGCTTGGGCCAGTTGCGCATGTGTAGTAAGGGTGGTCACGAGGCACAAAATATTGAACTTTGCTTTAAAATACTTGGCATCTAATATGCCTAGGTATTTTGTGCCCAGCTGCAGGAGCGGCTGCCCCACGCCGGTGGTCTAGTGGCTAAGGTATTTGGCTGCTGACCCGCGGCTCGTGGGATTTAATCTCGGCGGTGGTGGTTGCATTCTTGATGGAGGCGAAAATGATGTAGGCCCCTGGGCTGAGATTTCGGTGCACTTTAAAGAACTCTAGGTCGTTGAAATTTCCGGAGCCCTCCACTACCGGGTCTCCCATAATCATATCGTGGTTTTGGGACGTGAAACCCCGCTTATCAATCAAAGCAGGGGCGATTGCGACTCAGTGCAATCCTTGAGCGAGAAGTGGTACTTTTTCAGGCCGCCGAATACTCCTTCACGTCTTCGCGAATGACAGCGTGCCATTCGGAAGGTTGACAAAGAACCTAACTGCTCTCGTGTCGTGTGTGACCTGCACTTTCAGTCAGAAGACCCCATTAAAGGTTTCATCCACAGCGTCAATGGTGAAGTGGTCACCATACCACGTGATAAGTGTACGCTAAAATGCAATATCATATCTTTTTCCTAATTGCCCGAAATATATATCAAATTCCTCAGAAAAGCCCGGGCTTCCCGCTGCATGGCCAGCTCTTGGCGTTCAGCACTACAGAAAATTTAAAAAAAAATGCAGTGCACAATGATTTTAACCACGGTGAACGAATGTGCTCCACAAACGACATGGTTACTGTCAAAGGCTTTGCATCGCTCTCTGACGAGCTTTCGAGCATTGCTAGAGCGAGCGAAAGAGTGCAATACAGAAAGCGTGCGGAAGCATACACTGGAAAGTATTAAATGATATAGAGGGGTGCTTTTTCCCTCTTCTTGGTTGCGCAGATCATTTGTTTGCATTCATGCACGAAGTACATTTTTTCATTGTTATGCGGATGAATTTTTACGCCGGGGATACAAATTGTCGACCAGAAAACAGTCACAAGGCAGCTGTAGCAAACAAGAAAACGCGTGTATTGTGAATATTGCCAACGGCGCATTTGTAGTTTTATGTCACAGGCTTGTTATTCGAGTATATAATATACCTCGTACGAAAAGCCTCAATGCCCTATTTGTTCACTGGTTAGCTATTTTCGACAAAGTGCACAATGTAAAAAGGATGTTTTTCGAATGCTTGGTGCTGAAGGGAGGAGCACAACGAGAGGGTGAAATAAAGCGAAGTGACATTCGGTTGGCGGTGCGCTGCCGCCTCGCGAAGCTTCAGTAGCAACCAGGCCGATCGTGGCGGCAGCGCCATCTCACGAGAGGAAACCAGCAGGGGGCCACATTTCGGCGCCGCTCCCAGCTGCGGTTAGACAACGGACAGGATCAAGTAACGTTGGGCATTAGCGCGCGCCGACCACTAGGGTGGGGAAGTAGCAGACGACGCAGGGCATGAACCGCTCTAGCGATTCTGTGCAGATGCTTCATGTTTCCAAATTTTGCCGGCATTTAGTGCCCCACGGGACCATTGCCTGCACGCTCGCGTGTTCCCCCTGAGAGTGGACCGTACTGTGCATTGTGTGGCCTGAAGATGTGTCAGCGTGCCTGCATACTTTTGCCTTGTGGGCAGTGCGAGTTTAACGGTACTATTAGGGAGCACCACACTGCTGTAAATAACTCGTCTGGCTTGATAAAGGCTGTTAATTGCAACATGTGCCATTGAAAACTGATGCTAGAGATAATCTATAAGCAAATCAATTATGAGATTGTCAAAGCTTATACCACAAGCATGTGAAGCAATGTGGTTGTCAACCAGACCCACATTGCTTTGCGTATAATAAGGAAGTGCAATATTTGAATGGCATATTCAGATAGCACCCTGTCACGACATGTATGGGTCATGTGATTCTTTTCTGTGTTTAGTAACCACGTATGTTAATTCCTTTTAGGCCTCCGTACAGATCTTTAACCGTTTAGCGAAAGTATGTTCAGCTGCCAACTCGCTCAGCTTGCTGCTTTAATGTGTCTGCCCTCGACTAGCAAGGCAGCCTAAATGCCTGAAGGAAAGTTTCTTTCACAGGCATTATCCAGATAGTGGCCTCTATTATTGCTTTTCTTCCTGCAATTGTAGGAGCTGTTGGACCTGGTGTCTGGCCTTCAGTCAGCCATGGCCGAAGAGCAACGGCGGTTTGATGCCTTGGGACTGCAGCTGCAGCGACTTGGCGCCCAGGGTGGTGATCCTGAAGAGCAGAGGGCACTCTCTGCTGCATTGTGTGCCTCACAGCTTCGCCTTGCACGACTATGCACTCGCAACATGCGGTGTTTCGCGCAGGTATTTATGTTCATGAACTCCCCGTGAAATGTATGCCAATATGCCAAAGCATTTCCTGTTATGGGCTATGTTATGGGCTATGGGTTATGGGCTATATTATGGGCCAGACTATTCACTATTCGTGTAATCTCAAGTATGCCAAGAAACGATGTAGGTGCTTACTTCTGAGTGAACAGGTCATTCTTATGACATTAAAAATGAGACTTTAATTGCTATCTGACTTTTCATGGGTTTGCTTTGTCCCAAATCTCAAGGTACCATAACCACTTGCGATCTTCAATGTTGAAAGCATGGTGATATAGCGATCAACACTGCATAAACGCTAGCTTGTTGCAGTGTGCTGGAACAGTTCGCTGAGGGTAATGGCGTGCAAGAAGCCTGTTTTACAAAAACACATGCCAGCAAGATCTAAGAACACAGCATGTCTGGCCCAAATGTTTGTTATACTCATCATGCCTGCCACAAGCAGTAGGACATGTAATAGTAATCCAAGGCCTAGCTGGCCGTGGGCAGAATATTTATAAGCACCAGACACATACAGTTGAAACTTCGGTTCTACAAATGTGGATGTAATGAATTATCACTTATTACAAACTGAACAGAGAACAGCCTTGCTATTATGGGTTTCTAATACCACAGGTGTATAGCAAACTTCTTTGTTCTGTATTTACTGTGAGGTAACAAAGTGATTTTCATATCAAATGTGACTTCTTTTTATGTGGTTTGAATGAGGCTACCAGTACTTGTGAGGTATGTGGAGAGCACCTGCTTTGTACGTTACAGGATGGCCAAGGAGAGCTCTACAGCTTTCGTGAGGGAAGAATAATGCGTAACCAATTTGGCTTTGAAATAAAAACGTTAAGATACTTCATACTTTGCAATGTGGGAACGGAGTATGTGACAAAAGCACGAAGTTGGGCGTGTTGGCAATACATAACTGATCACATAGCGCAAAAAAATATCACACAAGGCAAGGGAAGGGATGTAGGAGAGCGTTGAAGAGTTCTCCTTCGTTTCTTACTTTGTTCTGCATCATATTTTTTTGCGCTGCAGGATCATTAACCGTGTATGTGATCTTGCTCAATCACATGAGTGAGCTGTGTGCAGAACGATGAATGTCTACAGTGATAAACAAAGAGCACCTTCTTACTAGACTTTGTGAGGTCTCGTGATGTCGAGCGCGCCAGGCTCTTGGAGTGAACGGACACAGTCGACACGGTCGGAACTAACCAACCAACCAAACAACTACACATATTTACTTAACTACTTTTAGAGCAATGACGGTATCATCAGCTGAATTACTATAACATCAATGGTGATCAACATGCTATGATATTCTTACACAATATTAAACAACACTCAACAATATGACAAACAAGGCGGTGTCGCTAATGCCCCACTCACTACGTAGGCCAACTGCAGACGGCCCACGGTGCCATCCACGGCAAACCCTCCGCTGGAAGCAACCGTCCGCGGCAACCGCCACCCACAAAAGAGACCAGCTTATTTCTTGCTCACTGCCACCAAGGCTTCCTGCCAGGCGTCGCTGCCCGCGCTAATGTTTTTTAACCATGATGATGATGATGGTGGCGATAAACGCTCACAAGCACACCGCCACCTACCGCTGAATAGTTGTGACCCCTAAATACGGCTTCTGCATGAAACATGTTCACCTCGCGGTGCAGACAACTTTACAGAGGGTGACAGCACCCCTACAATTTTAAGTCGACCCATAACTGCTTCACATTCTACACGGAGTTCCCTTCACGGCGAGGTGTGCGTGCTTTTTTCTTCCAACCTCCACCTGCTCTGTTGGGTGCTTGTCACAGATTTTTTCCTGATGCATTCAGTGGCGATACTAGATTGAGGGGCGCACATGGTAAATATATTTCTGCGCGTGTTGTGATGGTAATTAGAGTGATTATTATTAATATTAATATTAATAAAACTGTTATTTTTGTGCAAAATAATTACACCATTTCCCGTTAAAGGGAACCGTGAATGTGAAGCTGCAGGGAGATGGTGAACGGCACACACAGAAACTGCTGTACGTCGTCTTAAGCAAGTGCACCAACATTCCGAACCTCTACCTGACTAAGGCTGCCGGTGGCCATCAGTTCCACCAAAAGAACGATAACACGAACGAGAACATGATGGACAATTTCAAACGCCTTGACAAGCATTGTCTGAACACCGTCACTCAGCGTTACCTTCGGCGCCTTTTTCGCCGCCAACTCTGCAGAAAGAGGAGGAGAGGACACGCATGCGCAGTGGGAGTGTGGACACATTGGAAAGGAGGGAGTGACGATGCTAAGCTGTTTTGCATCTGGCATCTGAAAGCCACCTGGCTGTTCTGCGCAAGTGAATGAGAGTCGTATTGATTGATTGTCCACAGTGAATTAAAACCATCTTGCTTGTCCACGCATCGTATGACTCATCAGAAGCCTACAAGGTTGAAAAAAATTCGAAAGAAGAAGTGTACCTCTTCGGTCAATTGTATAGTTTCCACAAAGTGTAAGAAGTTTGTTTATTCATTTATTCAGATAGCTAGAGTGTCCCATGGGTATTATTGTATGTGGGGGGTGGCGGGAGGGACAATAAAGAATACATTAGAGGCGGTATACAACATCTAGAGATAGCATAAAAAGATCAGCGATATGTTTAGGATTGCAGACGACATGACACATCTACATTGTGGACAGTTCACTCCAATATATATATATATATATATATATATATATATATATATATATATATATATATATATATATATATATATATTTGTGAGACGTCAAGAACACTTCATTACAATTGTCAGGATCTGAGCTGAGGCGCCGCTTTCTAAAAAGTACGACACCACAGGCATGGTGGAGTAACGGCTACTGACTGCTGAGCAGCGCTCCTCAGTGTTTATTATCCAAGCACGACCAAGGTTGCCTGCTGAACTTGATGAGGTAATGAAACTAGGCTAGGCAGGGGACCACACGCTCGTTACACCCCTCACCCCCAGTTATTGTACACAAAATAAAAAATAGGAAGTCCCAGCCAGTTCGACGTTGGTTTAGGTAAGCGATAAGCAGTCTGGTGTCTTTCGTCGTTGATTGTTCTGCCTGGGTACAGGTGTTGAGGGACTAAGTGCGGTAGCACGAGGTGCTGCCCGAGCCACTCTTGATGCCTCCTGAGATTCTGTCGAGGTTGGCAGAGATGGCACTGAACTTGCTGGTGGCCCAACTAGTGGCACACAACTGGAGGCACCTCTTCCTTGCAAAGTGGTTGTCTCATTGGCCGCAGCTGGTGCTGTCGTGGATGCAAGCTCGGTCCCGTGGTTAGCCCTCACATGGTCAGCATGTCGGTGCTGTGAGGTTTCATCCTGCATTCGTATGAGCAGAGAGGAGGAGCTTGCAGGCGAGACCACTTGTCCAGCAGACCAAGGTGGGCCAAAATGGAAATTTCTGGCGAATACTGGCATTCCAGGCTTGGGCAATTGCCCAGGACGGCACCGTATGTCAGCAGCCAGCTTCTGTTTTAGCTGCTGGAGAAGTGCCGTAAACTGGAGGTCTGGGTGCATAATGTCTAACGGTGTCTTCACCATACGTTTGAGCAAAAGCTCACAGGGAGCATGGCCGGTGACATCATGAGGTGTAGTCCGATACTGCAAGAGTATGCGGGTGACTTCCGTACAGAAATCCCCAACCTAGCTCTTCTTAAGTTTGTCCTTAATAGTCTGCACCACCCGCTCAGCTGCACCGTTTGAAGCAGGGTGGTACGGAGGAACTGTCATTCGGCAGATTCTGGTCTTTGTCAGCCAAGCCAGATAATCTGCGCTGGCGAAAGCGGGCCCATTATTGGAGACTATGATGTCCGGTAGCCCTTGGTCTGCAAAGATTTGCCACAGTGCCACAATAATCACACATGCTGACAGAGTGGTGACAGGTATAACCCTCACCCACTTTGAAAATGCGTCGACCACCACCACGAAGTTGCCACAGTGCCACAATAATCACACATGCTGACAGAGTGGTGACAGGTATAACCCTCACCCACTTTGAAAATGCGTCGACCACCACCACGAAGTAGTGGCCTTTGAAGGGGCCCCCAAAATCCACGTGAAGGCAGGACCAGGGCCTCTATGGGAATGGCCATGGGGTGATCACATGATGCAAGGCTTGTTGATGTTCCTGGCAAACTTGGCAGCTTCACACCATGTGAGCAATGTCCTGGTCCAGCCTAGGCCAGCAAATGTGGGACCGGGCCATCATCTTTGTCTTTTCCGCGCCAGGATGCCCCACGTGCAGCAACTGCTGGGCCTTGGACCGAAGACATTGTGGGATCACCACCCTAGAACCCCAAAGTAGGCAGCCTTGCTCCAGGCTCAGCTCAGCAGCCTTGTGGCTGTAGGGCTGCTGCAGCAACTCCTCCCCTCGGGGTACTGCCTTCACCACCTCGGACAGGACTGGGTCCCAACTGGTGGCCCACGACACAGCAGACCTGGAGATTACATCTTGGTACGCATGCTCCAGCATGAGCACTTCAGCTGGCTCTGGAACAGAAGCAAACACCTCTGGGAGCGGCAACTGGCTCAGGGCATCAGCAAATCCCCTGGTTTTTTCCCGGACGATGCACCAACTGGCAGCTGTAGGCCGCCAGCTTCAAAGACCATCGTGATGCCTGCACAGGGACCGCCTTGTCTGGTCCCAGTAGCCCCAGCAGTGGTTTGTGGTCCGTGACTATCTTGAACAGGTACTGCTGAAAATGCTCGACGTCAAACATCAGGGCGAGGCTTTCCTTGTCCAGCTGGCTGTAACATTGCCCTGCTGTGTGAAGACGACGAGAAGCAAATGACACCGGGCGTTCTTGGCCATTCTTGTCTCTGTGTGCTAGGACAGCTCCTACACCGTATGTTGATGCATCTATAGTAAGGACCACAGGCATGGCTGGATCGAAGGGCACCAGCACCGGTGCCTTGGTGATTAGCTGTTTACTGTTCTCGAAAGTTACGT